ATTACAATATAAGTATAACTATATAATATATTTATTATTATAATAATATATTACTAATAATAAATGTATTATATTTATATTTATATTTATTATATACACATTATATATTATAATAATAGTTATTATAAATATTTAACTAAATATAATTATATTTATATAATATATATTATAAATTTATTAATATTATATAATAATATATTTATATTATTTATAAATGTATATTATATATGCATATAATTATAATATATGTGTATATAATAATATATTATATAATTATTTTTATTTTATTTTATAAATATACTAATTATTATATCTAATATAGAATATTAGTATAATTAATATTTATATATTTATATTATAATATTTGTATAATTATATTTAATTATATATAATATTTAATCTAATTTGTTACAAACTTATAATAATGATATTAATAGTTATATGTATTATATAATGTATATTAGTATATATAATATAATTGATATTATCAATTATACTAATAATTGTACATGTTTACTAATAGAAATTATTAATTAGTTATACTAAAATACTAACACATTTATACTAATACATTTAATTAGTGAAAATTTCTTATATCCCATTTTGAATGAGCCAATGAACCAAACATCAACTATAGTAATGATATACATTCCTGGTACAAAAACCAAACAGATGTATTGGAATGAGTGACTCCATTCTAAACCCTGGATGAATAATCCTAAATTCGAATCTGATTCCAAAGTGTGAACCAAACGCCACCTTATTATGTGATGCTTGCTTGATAACTTTGTGCATCTCAAGTTATCACAAATGGTATCTTATTATCCAAACATTTCACAATTACAAACCGCTTAACTTCACTGTTAGTTGAATTTTTTTTATATTATCCTAATTTTTTTATAATATCTGATTTCTTTTTTCTATCCAAAATTTTCTTGCATTTTGTGTCATCAAAATAATTTTTGCAAAACATAATCTTTATTAGTTGCACAGAGGTAGAGTGTTTTTAAAACAATCAATTTTGGAGGCTGCATTGGAAAATCAAACAGTTTCTAATAATGGCATAAATACTTTGTAGTAATGATTAAGATAAGTAGAATTTGACATCAAACTTCATAGAGCACATAACATAACCAAAATCTATAGAGTACCTAACTCATATTGACATTGCTATCATAAAATTCGAATTCGAAACATCAAAGAATGGCTTTAATTTATACTAGTCTGAGAAAAAAGTAAACATTCTACGCTCGAAATTCTTTTTTTTTAAAGGAGTTAAACATGCATTTGCATATGAGGTTCAATTAGGTTGAGGAGACTCCGAGTCTTTTATTTTCACTTTTGAGCTCGGCTTGATAACCAAATCGAGCTATTTGAATTCAAATCGATTTTGGTCATCGCAAGCAAGCAGAATTGATCCATTTATAGCAATAAGATCATTAAAAATGATCAATATATTCTGTTTCAGTTTACTGTCTAAAAACCACTCATTTACAAATTAATGGTGGCTTATAAAATCTTTTCTACACAATAGAGAACATTATTCTTGGCTTAATGGCTTTTTGACTCCTATTTATATTATAATTATTATGGTGTCAGTTTGGATTGAAACAAATTTTGGGGCGTAGGTCCGTAAAGATGAATATTTCGCATAAAACACACTACAAATATAGTTTATGAACCTTTATTAAGAGGAGAAGGCTGCACTTAATCTGTTAGTCTAATCGGAATTATATATATATTGTAAATGGGAAATCTCGAACCCGATTTTATATAATTATTGGATGGAAGCATCCTTCAAATCTCCATTTTGTCTTTAGCGGTAGTGGGGTGTAATTTGGAATGTAAAAATTATACTAATGACTTCGTAGGAGTCAAAGTTGATTTGAATTGGATTTTCTAATTATAAAATATTAAGAAATCGGAAAGTATAAATATGTAGATTTAGACATCAAATTATCCAATCTTAATAAAGGTATAATAATTGTCTGCTACATATCGTTGTGTATTTCTTTCAAGTCATTTTTAATTCCTCTTTTTTGTTTTTATCAATTTCTAAAATTGCACCCATTGTGTACATCCTTCTTCTGCTATTGTTTATAGAAACCGTGGCCATAGAAGTTACCAATTGCAAGGAAAGTGACACTCGCAGTCTAAAATTAGTCTTTGGTGCTCCAACAATATTTTTAAATATTTCATGAATTTCTCTTTAAAATTCCTTGGAGTGGTTTATCTTTTGTTGGTGGACATAATATGGGTAGCGATGTCCGCGAGATGAAAATTTGTATAAGAGTTAGGGGTGAGTTTCACTTGCCGTACAGTAATGGGGATCTCACAAAATTATACAGCAGTAATGTGATGAAAAATGACAATTCAAACAGGCTATAACATTTTTTATCACTTTTTTATGTACAGTTAGTGTATAATCTTTTTTTACATTAATAGATTTAGATCATATCACGTAACTTAAATTCAGATTTAAAATTCAAATTATACATATGTGAGCATATATTCAAAACTGATTGTGTCAAAAATCACTATATTATCAGTGTATAAAAACTTAATCTAATATTTTGACTTACGAAGTTTATGAAGTTGTGTTATGAGTTACGTGAACGAACTAGAGGTCAATTTAGACAGATGAGAGAGCATCACTTAAAATTACATTGGCAAGTTCAAGAACCAAATTGGAGCCTATAGAAGATGAGGAACGAAATAGAACCTTTGCCAGAAGTTCGGGGATACTATTAGTAATTTACCTAGAAATGGTCGTCCACTCTCATCGTTTACGCTTTCAAACAAAATAAATTCATAAGTAATGAAAAAGCCTGTTTGTCGAAATCGACTAATTTATGTTCCCAATCCTAAGATAATTTGAAAAAGCTAAAAGGGTCTTAGAATAAAAGGTCACTTGGTGACTGGGGTGGGGAGATCAACTGATCGAACTCAACTGAAGGATAAGCATTCCGTCGGCCTCTGTATTAGTCAAAGACGTCGTTAATTTACTACACGAGAAAGGAGAAAAATACTCGGGGAAAGCAGCAAGTGATGAAATAAATGGGCTTGTTTCAGAACTATCTTTGCTCCAGAAATTAGTGGAAGAAATTGACAAGGAACAACGAATTCATGATTGGTTGACAGAAGTAGAGAAAACCTGTTATGATGTGGAAGATATAGTGGTTGAAAACCAAAACAAGATTGCTGACTTTCTTTCTCTCAGAACCATCAAAAGGTGGTTTTTCTCTGACGTAGATGATGATTTTCCGGGGCAAATTTCCCTGCTTAGAAAAAGGATCAGACACCTGCTGGGAGTCGGGAAGCTTTTGTCACAGGGCCAGCAAAACAACAGGCCTCCCCTGCCTTTTGGTTCACTCTAGAAGAAGGATTCTATTGCTGTTGGATTAGTCAATGAGTTGGACTTCCTTTTGAATCGAAATCGGATTCTTTTTCCCCAACGTAATTTCCGTGGTGGGCATTGGCGGCTTGGGGAGACAACCTTTGTGAGGTGATTATATAACCATGAGTCATTGCGTCGCCATTTTAAAGCTTTGTGAGGTGATCATTGGGCACTTCGGCATAGCGCGACTTTGATCAATTATGGGGAGCTTTAGGTTCCATTCTTAAGCAGCTTGTACCGGCCGCCAACGAGATGTTGAGAAACTGTTCTATTATGGGCATCGCCGTCAACTTTCGCAGCCTACTGGCTTCTGCAAAATGCTTGGTGGTTATTGATGATTTGTGGTCACTAGATTACCTAGACTAGCTAAGCAGTTTTTTAGGAATTAGGGAAACAGCTAGTAAATTAGTAGCCACCACTCGGTTTCAGGAATTAGCAACATCCAATCCATCGATTGAACTTTTCAAGTTGAGGCACCTGACTGAAGAGGAAAGTTTGGAGCTCCTTGTTCGCAGAGTATGCGTGAATATCCCTGAAGGTCAGTCAGTTGTGTCCATTATCATTATTTTCGTAAATTCTTGCCGTCATTTTTTTGTTACGGAGACGTGCAATCGATTTTTTAGATGCTGCGAAGTTTAAATTTTTGACATTATTTATCTGAATGTGTTTGCATTTTAATGTACAACAAAAATGCGCTATCATACTTTTAGTTGTGGAAAAGATTCAAGTCTTTAATAACACAGTTCGGATTTTTCATTTGATACTTTCCCAAATTCAGTTAAGATTTTGTTGCTATATTTTATCGTTGTGGATTTTGTGGCCATTTCTCAATGCATATTGTTTTATTTCTTCTAAATTTTTATTAGTTATTCTCATGTTCTTTCTTGTATTTCCTTTCATGGTGTTATTTATTTGCAGCAATAGCTAAATTTTTCGTTGTTTGATTTGGAAGATTATGTCTGTTTGAATTGACTTCTCCCCTTTGCTAACAAATCCGCAGTTGCACGGGATGCTAGAATTTATTGTGAAAAGATGCAAAGGCATACCGTTGGCCATTAATGTGCTTGGAAGCTTGTTGGCAACAAAGCAGACATCAAATGAGTGGAAGGCAGCTCTTTGTGCTATGGAGTTGTGCAACGTCCATCAAGAAGATAGTTTGCAACTGTTAGAACTGGAAATTTTATCTTTATGTTATGACGACATGCCACACCATTTAAAGCTTTTGTTTCCTTTATTTGGGCCTCTTCTCTGAGCAACCAAGCATAGAGGTGGAAACACTGTGGATGGCTGAAGGCTTTGTACAACCGAGCAATGAAGAATCTACAATAACATTGATGGATGCAGCGAAGCAGTATCTGGATTAATTAGCAACCAGAGGTTTTGTTGAGGTTAATAAAGCTTTCGTTCCGAATAGCAGACGGTTCAAATCTTGTCGTCTGCATGGCATGATGTTAGACTTGTGTCTTCACAAGGCCAAACAAGAAATATTTTCCGAGGTCATAAGATCATGTCAGAGAAACGAAATCAACAAGTCTTCCACTCCATTCGGCAACATATGTAGACTTTCCATGAACATTGGTGGGGTTATCAAAGTGAAGATGTAATGGCCGTCTTGCTGAAAAATGCTGACATGCATCTTGGTTATCTTAAGTCTCTTCTTCTCTTAAAATTACCCCGACGTTTGGAGTTTGTAGAATTTTTGGAGTCAATAAAGTTGAAGTTGTTCCTCTTGCTTAGAGTCTTAAGATTTGATGGTTTTGACCTACGAGAGAGCAAATTTGTTGGCGAAGTTGGGAAATTGACATCTCTGCGATACCTAAGCTTCAGAGATTGTCGCCTAAACAACCTGCCATTAAGTCTTGGTGAGTTGTTGTACTTGCAAACACTTGATTTGCGGGTAGTAATAGATCGGATGGTTACCACACCAAACATCATCTGGAAGTTAAAAAGGTTGCGGCATCTTTATTTGCCTTCCAAATTTAATGCTCGAGAGGATGATAAGTTGCGTCTGGATAGTTGGTGAACTTGGAGACGCTTGAAAACTTTGATACCAGTGCATGCAGCACAACCGATCTTCTCTTCTTGACGAGTCTTCGAAGCCTAACAGCATCTGTTAAAGGGAATGCTAAGTCCCTGCAAGGCATCATCAAACGCATACATATGAACCAGAATTGCTTATGCCAAACCTCTATTCGAGTAAGATGTTTCGACGCATTTACTGTAGAAGAAAGGATTTGTCAATGAGCCAGCTACTTGATTTGTCCCTCCCTTCATACTTTGCAGATCAAGGGATGCATGAGCATACTACCACATATAATCTGTTACAGTCTCACTCGCATAGTTCTAAGCCGTTCTACACTTGTCAATGGTCCTATGGCAACTCTGGGGAGGTTTCCAAATTTATGGGACCTTGTTCTGGAAGACAGAGCTTTTCTGGGGAAACGGTTGACTTTTGCATCAGGGGGATTTGGTCAACTCAGACATCTTACACTCTCAAATTTGCCAAAGTTGGAGTTCTTGATTGAAGAAGAAGATCAATGCCCAATCTTTGTACCTTGCAGGTCGAAGGATGTAACAACCTTAAAGAGCTTCCAATCAGACTTCAGGAATTGTAGGGTAAGATTCTTTGCAACCATCAATGTTGAAACTTCATCCTCGTGAGGGCGCACCAACTTTGTATTGGAGTACGTGACACCAGATTGATATTGCATACTCAGGTCCTCCTGCTATACTCCTGAAGCTACACAAGGTAGCTTGTTGCCTACAGTCAAACAATGTTATACAGATAGTACGACGGATCTTCTGTCCTACTTTCTATGTCAGTTTCTGTCCTATTTTTTATTATATTACTATTTCTCTTTCATGAACATCATATTTTAGTTCTTTTTTTATTTCCTTAAAATTCAATAACTATTAATTGAGTAATACACAAAATTTAACAAACTCAAAAAATCAAAATGCATAAAAATATTTTTTTTATGAACTTCTGTTGTATTTTTTAATTTTCTATTATATATTACTTTTTGAGATTATTGTATTTATTTCTTACTCAATTAATAGTTATTGAATTTTAAAAAAATTAAAAAGAACTAAAATATGATGTTTATGAAGGAGAAACAACAATATAATAAAAAGTGGTACAGGAAATGAGACACAAGCTCCGTTGCGAACAGATAATTAGCTAAAGTACATGCTCTTCCTTATTTTCTACTAGATTCGAAAGTCTAGTTAATTTGTAAATGTTCGTACTTCCCTGCCTTTGGCTGTAGAAAAGCAATTGCTACAGTTTGGAGTACAAGCCAAGCCTAATTAAGTCTATTAATTTGTTGGAGTAACGAATATCCTTTTGCTTTGAATTGAAATATTAGTTGGGAGATAACTGCTCCAGTATTTGCACTAGAGTGGACGTCATGACTAATTTAAAACGACGAGACTTCCAGATGTTTACCTTATTCAGCCTTGGACTTGAAGAAAAAATAGAACCAAGAAAGTTTGATTGGTGTTTTGTTGCTTGCCAAGGCGCTTATGAGAAGTTTGTTGACCTGCTGTTATAAGGATTATAGGTTGTGCAAAAATTTCCTAAAAAAGAATGTAGCCTGTGCAAAATCAAGATTTTTTTTTTCATGAAGAGAACAAGTAACAGGAAGGAAATTTGTGTTCTATCTTTTCGTGTACAAACAAATTTGTGGATCTATATTTTTGTAACATCATTGCCATGCGACGTGGATCAATCCTCATATCTTATGAGTGCCCAGTACTGTGTATTCTGAAGTCATGGTAGCATCATCTCATCATTTTTTGACAGAATTACCACTGATGTATTAGCTTTCAAAGTTGCCAGTGCTTTGGAACACAAAATAATTCGGTGGTTCAAATTATATTGATTTGAATAATTTAGTGGCTGTTTCGATTTTTTTTTTTTTTTGCCAATTTTTAAAGAAACAAGAGTTAAAAGAAGCAATTGTACTTCAATTGCATACATAGGTTGCAGTCTTAGCTTTGGCTCTTAGACAGTCACTTAATTGAAACTTATGCAAAATTTCTTCAATAGCGAGACTAATTTTACAGTCATGACTCATGAGATACAGCTGATTAAGCAGCTCGAAGTTCCAGCTCGTGGACATATTACCAAATGCCATACTAGACTGCATCAATGAAAACGTAAAAGTTTCCATAAAACCAAGAAACTCTTATGATCTCCTTACCTGAGAACCTTCTTTGGTTCACAATGACAAACTAGGAACAAAGCACTGGGAAATATAAGGCAGGAAAATTTTAAGGCAGGAAAGTTCTAAGGCTGAGTGTATCAGTAATAAGGGGTGGCTGCAGATGTACGCAGGGTAGCTCTGTTTGCCGAATTCGAGTAATATATGTTGCCACTGAATTCATCCATGTTCCATAAACCATCCCAGTTAATGTCCTGATCATGATTTGTTGCTTCTGGCAGAGCTGCGGAATTGTTGAACACTGAGTAGAGGAAGACTTGATGATGATCATCAATTGTATTGGGAAAGATAGAGTTGCTGCTGCTGATGCATCTTGTTTCATCTGAGGCAGAGTTGGCACTCTGTTCTCATTTTCATCCAGTAACGACATAAGCCTCCTCATGTCAAATACTTGAGTTTGTTGTTGCTGCTGGCTGTTGCTGCTGCAGCAGCTGTTGCTGCTGAAATTGTTGCCTTCTCAGAAGGCGTGCTTTTGATTTTTCTGAGTTATCAGACGAGACTTTTGCCTTTTTCTTGAAATGAGTCCTCCAGTAGTTCTTGATTTCATTGTCTGTTCTTCCTGGCAGGCTTCTAGCAATTGTCGACCACCTATATTTGTCAAGGATAGCCCACAAAATCAGCTGCTTATCCTAGACAATCTTCTTATGAAATTTCATTTCAAAAGCTTGTTATATCCAAATCCTCACCTGTTTCCCCACCTAGCATGGAGCTCTAGAATTACTTTTTCTTCATGAGGGGTTATTTGGCCCCTCTTGAGATCTGGCCTCAAGTAATTCACCCACCTCAATCTACAGCTTTTCCCATTTCTTTTCAATCCTGAACAGAACACCAAAATCAACCATCATCTGGTCATAAGCAGTGCTCTTCAATCGCAACACTCCCATGTATATGCATGCAAAATAAAATACCAAGAATGAAGAATTCTAGCTTTACCCAAGTGGGATTTGACATGCATTAAAAATGCCAAAAAGACAGCAGGTTACAAGATTCTAGTTGGTGAAAAGTCGGTGAAGTACACAATACTAATAGAATTAGTAAGCAGGCAAGTTGCTTAGTATATTAGTTACCTGCAAGTCTAGCCACAGAGTTCCATCTGCCTTCACCATGCAACTTGACATATTCAATGAGTAATCTGTCTTCTTCAGCAGTCCAAGGACCCTTTCTCCACCCTTCCTCCATCACACCCCAAGCCAATTGTTCTGCTGCCATCACTTCCCAAGACATGAAAAGCAAAAGCTAAAAAGGCTCTTGTTTAGTAGCTGTATTAGGTGTTCAGTTTGTCCTCAAAATTCTGTGACACAATGTGCTAGTGTTCGTTACACACATATATATATATATATATCTGCACTTTGAACTATGATTCATCCCATCAGTCAGTCATCATGTCCTTTTCAAATCATCACTACTATCCTCCGTCCTCGAGTGAGTAAGCCAAAGATGATCTCTGTCATGCCAATTTTATCAGCTAAAGTTACCAAACTGCCCTCATCCATTCCTGTTTGATGAGCATTATGATGTTTCCAAGTTTAGTCTTTAAACGTGCTCTGGTAACGTGTCAATAGCACTGTTCCAAAGCCAGGTCAAGAAGATTAGCCAGGTGACTGTAAATCTTGTTTTCACTCGAAGTCACCCTTATTCCTTATTTTCTTGTGAAAGAAAGGGGAAAAAAATAAAAACGAGTGCCAATAGCACTCTGATTAATAAAATCGTTGATCAAATTTGATTAGGTAATTGGGAATTTGTTTGACAAGGGGTGGTCTAAAACTTGCCAATCTATTTGGTGACAAGATTGCATTTCAAGAAAATCAGAGGAGTATATTTGTTGATGTTAAATATTCTTAAAGGATGTACTCAAATTGGCAAAATCAATGGCCACGTGTTGCCTAGGCCTTATAGATTTAGACACAAGGAAAGCCAGCCACAAAGCATTGTGTTTCTAATCCTAATAAAATTAAAAATACGTGGGTGGATAATTCTTTAAGCTTGAAAGTTACTGGAGTCTCAATGGATGCGAAACAAGTGTGCGATTTGCTTACTTCTTAAGGAGATAGATGCATGAAAATCACCATCATATCTCGATTTTTTTAACTTTGTTGGATGCCATTTTAGGCTTTTAGCACATAAGATAGTCGAGTAACTATTGTCCTAGGACGTCACAAAGGGAACAGGTGGTGCTTGTGTGATGATTTTGGGGGAAGTGCTTTGGTGAGTAATGAAAATTACACACACAAAAAATCTCTACAAAATTTTTTTTCAAAAAAAAAAAATAAAGAGAAAGCCTAGACGAACAATGGAGTTTATGAAGTGTGTAAAACTTCCTTTAAAAAAAAATAAAGTGAGATAAAAACTAGTTATGATCAATGGCAAGAGGGAATGTCTAAATCAATGACCCTCCATTGTAAATTCACATCCCCCTATTTTAGAACCACAATAAGTATAATTCTTAAAGTTTGTGGTGTAAATATTTTAATGCATGAAATTTGTGAATTTCACCATGTGTATAAGACCATGAGTTGATAAATTCTCCAATGAAGTTTTTTTATAAAATCCTATTGGCTTTGTCTAATTCTCAACGCTAATAAAGGCTCTGATTGCAAAATCTAAAGCAGCTGATTATAGCCCCTACAAATCAATTAGAACTGCATTTTTTTTTTGGTTTTATAAATCAATTAGATCTTCACGCTGAACTGTTCATTCATAGGTCAAAAATATCATATTGGATTCCTAACATATAGTTATAGTTTTGCTAATTACATTTTACACCCTCAAATTTATAGTAATTGACATTTTCGCATCTTAACAATTATATTAGAACTATTAGACGGCGATACAGTAACACTGTCCTTAAAATTGCCACCGGACTTGAACTTTTTAATAACAAAAGTATGTTTAATAAAGCTAAACAAAAAATTATTCAATAAAGTGATCATTTTTTCTTCACTCTACCCTTTTAATTAACTATAATTAAGTACAGAGTGTTTAGCTTTTTATGTTCATTATTCGGCGCAAGATATAATTGAATCCATTAATGATATTTTTAATAAAGGCATCACAGCAAATCCTCTGCTGTACGGTAAGATCGAAAAGGATGACATGCAAAAACACTACTTTTCAGTAGCAAAGCGCGTTGAAGAATAAGTTAATGGTTTCACTTCTTGTCTAAAAAGTTGAGTTCTATTAAAAGCCGAAGGAACTTTACGTTTTGTTAAGCGGTTTTATTCTCAGATCTTTTGCATAATTTATATTTTAATCCACTCTGGCTGTCATTTCTGAGGTGATTTGGATAAGAGCTTGGAGATTGCGGAGAGAGACGGGCTATCTTAAACAACTACGTAGAGCATAATCACTTTTGTTTTTCTTAAGCTTAAGGGAATGTTGGGACATGCCATCATTCTTCTAGAAGCATTTTAGCTTTTCATTTTCCTTGTTCTATGT